CCCCTCCCCCGCGCTCTGGCAGGAGGAGGCCGCGGGCCTGCCCTCACAGGGCTGAGCACCGAGGGGCCAATAAGAAGAGGGGGTGGGTGGGTTTTAGCTGATGGTCTGGGTTGTGGTTGATGGGTTTGGGATGGGGGGGTTCGTTTGGTTTGTTGTTCTTGGCCCGATTAACCTCACACTGCGCTTTTCGGCAGGCAAAGACAATGCAATCATTCGCCGCCGGTAAAAGCCTTTGCGGGGCTATAATATACGACTACCAGGATGCAATGACACCACGGTTTCAATTGCACCTGGGTTAATATATGGAAAATAACATGCGGTTTTGCACTCATCTCCATTTTTTTAAATGCAATTTCGCATGAAACTATTTAGCTAAGCGGAATTTTTATACAAAATAGCACCTTTGCATTAATCTTCTTGATTGCATTTCCTCTTTTACTGCTACATTGTATATGGGTTCTTAAAATTTTACCACTCCCATGTGAGTGAATATTGAATGGGTACAATAGTATAAATAAGAAATCGGTATTTTGAATGTCCCTTTTCAAAGCTTCACCTATTTCTTATTTTAACTATAATGTTTATTCCATTTAATTTAAACCGGATTGAAGCTCAGTTTATTTTTCCTTTTTTTTTGAATTTATTTTCCATCTTTCTAACATTTCTTTTACTCAACACTCTTTCATTGTTTTGATAAGCCTTTCTATACACATTATCAAGCCCATACCATCCAACAGAAACCTCAGTTTCAAAAAAAGCAAGTATTTCTCTTACAGGTTTCTTGTTTCTTTCTCTTTGAGATTTTTTTTTTGACGTGAAGTATTGATTTCTTCAGTTCATTCATTACTATTTATTTTCACTTATTTTATACTCATTTCCGATGTCTGTCACCACACAGGCCTTCAGCTTAAAGACGCGACAACCTATTATTGACGAGGATGAACTTTTCACGGAGGAGGACCGTGCGCTTAAGGAAGCAACCAAAGGCTCCGACTGCACTACGCGCCGCCGAGCCTGTAAAAATTGCGTGTGCGGCCGCGCGGCGTTGGAGAGGAAGCTTGAGGCGGAGGGTAAGTTGCCACCCGAGGGTCTTAGCGGGATGGTGTTCCAACCAACAGGTGGATGCGGAAATTGCTCAAGGGGAGATGCCTTTCGGTGCGCCGGCTGTCCGTACCTTGGTCAGCCGGCCTTCGACAACACCACGGACGGAAAAGTTAAGCTGAACCTCACGGATGATATTTAAAAGTTGATAACTTCTTATTACATTTCTTTTTATGTTACACTCGCATACAACGAACGCAGCTGCAAGTTTTGGTGCTTTAGTTTCATTAGTTCTGCTTTTCCGTATTATTATTATGATCACTATGAACGATCAAGGGGCTGACAATTACTTGTCAGACGTTTTGCTTATATATTTTCACTAAAGTAAATGCTAATGCTAAGTATAATGCCATTATCAGAGCTATTATGTTTAGTTTTTGTTATAATAGGACTCTTTGCCTAATTATTGTGGATCCAATCACGTGCTGATGCTATAAAGCATCCTTTACAAGTTCAAAAAATGCGAAAATTCGTGGAGGAGTAGGCGACTACGCATTAAGTCAAGGTATATTAATTTTACTCGCTACGTACTGCTCAGGATGTGGATCTACAGGTGTGTGTGTATGTTTGTAGATCGTTGAAAGGAATAGTAGAAAAAAGCAATGTTTCATTGCTCTCTGAGATTCATTGAACCTCTGCAGTTTTATAACATTTTTCTTTTCATCTCTTCCTACGTTTCTTCGAAGAAGTTTAAGACCCTAATACCGAGTTGTTCTAAGGATTCAAATTCGTTCGGATTTACCACTAAATTTGAGTGAGGAGGGAAAAGAAAAATCCCAAGGGTCTATCTATCATATTGTGCGTGTGTGTGTCTGTGTACTTCTATATTGCACTGGCTTTACGGTGTCACTCACCTTTTACGAAAAACGCAATTTGGAAAACGAAAAAGCATCATTTTATTCTAGCGAAAGGACCAAAGTGGATCGATAAACTATCAACGCTTTGAGGACGAGGCAAGCAAGGAATAACATCTAATAATAAGATAAAACGCTGTTGATTGGCTTGTGCAGCCTTTCCTAACAACCAATACGAATTATGCGGCTAAATCGCTTTCTTCGCGTGCGTCATGATGTAGTGGAGCAGCTCCTCTGCTTTGGGCGTCTGGCCGACATCCAAATGGCCAACTTCTTCCGCAAGCAGCTCGCCTGTGAGTGTGGGCCCGCTGGGGGGGAGACGGTGAAGGAGAAGGACGACTTCAGCCGACAACGGGAGGCGGTGCGCAAGATCGCGCGGGGTTCCGCAGAGGGGCTCACGGCGTGGATCGGCGGGGCCTACGGGGTGTCGGAATGGTCGACTGGACATCTCTCCACACAGACCCTGCAGGCCAAACGGGGCGAAAAAGTTGAGGTGATTACGCTGCGTGGAAAGGCGCTCGCGGCGGGGGAGGTCGGGAGCGCGCCGAAGTCGGTGCAGGTGATCGCGCAGCTTCCTTCCCTTGACGCCGCCGCCGCCAGCGCCCATGCCGGGACGGAAGACTACATGAGGGAGAATTTGCGTGAGGCGGTGCTGCAGGTCCCCCTTTCCAACGAAAACGAGGGCCGGATCACCACCAAACTTGTGAACGGCCTCCTCCAGCTCGACTTCCACGACGCGGTGGCGACGGTGAAGGCGGGGGTCTGCGCGAGGGACGTGGCCTCCCGACAGAACATCCTCACGGCCACCGCATACGGCGGGATGCTGGAGAGGCTCGAGCGGATTTGTGCCCTTCACGCGACCACGGCCGTGCAGTACGACGGGATGCTCATCCGCGATCCCGCGGTTCAGATGCGCCTTGCACAGATCGCCTGTTCTCACTTTGGTGTAGAGTCGTTGGCAGCGTACGTCTCCGGCAGCGACGAGGCCCTCCATGAGGCTGACGCACCCCAACCGGAGGAGACCTCTGAGGAGGGGGATACCCCCGCGGCGAGGGAATTTCGTTTCTTCGAGGCGGTCTCCCTAAACATTTACGCGGGGAATGCGCTGATGGATGGTTTGGACAATGCCTGGAAAATCTTGCACGGCTTTCCCCTGACCACGCCACGGCCGCACCGAAGCAAGCCTGAAATCCAGATTAACTACCCCTACGTCGATTCCCTCCTGAACACGTCGAAGTACTTCATCACGTCGATGAATGGCTCGATGGAACTTCAGGCGCAGACGTTCTTCGGCCCGCTTTTGCAGAGGTCCTTTCTCCACCAATCCGCCTCTACCTGGCTGGAGAGCCCGCTCCGCCACTTGATGGGGCTGACGACCGCGGCGAAGGTGTGCCTGTCGGCCCCGCACGTGAATCTCCGCGTGATGACCGACGTGCTGGAGCGGGACCTCACCCGTGGGCTTGAGCTGGTGTCCCACCAGAAGGACCCCACCGACCCTTCCTTCGTCATCACCGTTGTCCAGTACATCGCGGAGGTCTTTGCGAACCTCGCGGTGGTCCACCGCTGCTCAGCCTCGCTCACCGCGGATGAGGGGGGGCGGGGGCACCGGGAGTGGCTACTGGCCCAGGCCTTCGGCGCGGCCTCGGCGGCCCGCCGGCAGCGCCTGCTCGCGTACCTTCGCACTTCCCAGCTCAGCGCCGGCGTCCTGCGGGGCGTGGCGGACCTCGACCACGGCGCCATGCACCCCGTGGCGTTGATGAACTCACGGCCAATCCCCTAGGCCTCGTCTCTTCTACAGGAAGACCAGAAAAAGGGGAAGGGGAGGGGGGGGGGGGGGGGG